CACTGGGCCCGGCTCATAAGCTTTTTAGGAAAAGAGATTTTTTTTTTTTTAAATCTCTTCTATTAAGAGATTTAAGTTCTTCTATTAAGTTGATTTAATATCAACTTCAGCATTACACTTATGATTAAATGTCACCATGTGTGTGAAGGACTGGAAAGTCCTGCATCCCTGCACATAGGCTGTTGCTGAGCAGCCTTTCCTCAGGCTGTCATTGTGACACTCCTCTAAAACTGTGTCCTGCGGTGGTGTTCTGCTCACCCACCTGTTGCTTACAGCAACAATTTAAAGATCTTTTGTTCATAAAATATTTTGAGACGGCAAGAGCAAGAAGAAAATAGAAGGGGAAAAAATTATTTAGGACACTTAAAGGTCAGATTTCCGATAAATCTTTTCTGGAGAAATTAACCATCAGCTACTTGATAAAAAATTTCTTAAATGCTATTCTTCCCCCCCACCCCACTTCCTTTGGCTCGAAGGGCTCCTGTAGATGTGTGAGGAGCCTGCTTTGATACACTGGATTAATCGAGTCTGCTGGAGCACAGAAACTGATGCACTCTGGCAGCCTTCCACGTCACATGTATCAGCATCCCTGAGCTGAAAAAATGGTGGTGGTGCACTTTGAATTAAAACACGTCTGGTGAGCTTTAGTGCAAAGTGCCCTACCGCCATTTTTCAGCACAGGGACGCTGATACACATGACGCACAGATGCTTTTAATTAAAGCATCTGGTGCTGCATCTCAAAATGCATGTAAAAATGCCCAGAGAAACCAGGTGTTAAATTAGCTTCTTGAATTCCATTGTTACAGATGAATCACATATTGTGTTGCAGAGCAAATCCATTATTACTTAGCATTTCCTTCATTATTTCACAAGACTTGTGGGTGCTTTAAGTAAAAGTTCTTTGATTCAAGAGGAAAATAAAAATGTTATAATAGTTAGCCACAAATTGTTGAAATGAATATGCTTATAGCATTCAAAATACAAAAGGAATCACGGGCAAGGCCTCACGAGGCTAAAGCTGACAAAGTATGGTTCCAGCCTTGGAGAGTTTATTGGAGGAGATGTCTGACAGAAACACCCCTTCCTCCCCACCCCTTTTCTTTTTTTAAATTGGTGAGAAGAAAGGAAGAAGAAGAAAGGTGGGAGAGAAGCCCTCCAAAGCCAAACACTATTGTAGAAAGTTTCAAATTCCATAACAGAATGAGGAAGGAAGGTGAATCTATCTTAGAGTATATTGCTGAGCTCAAAAAGCTAACCGAACACTGGTCTTTTGGAAATGTCCTAGAGGATATGTTGAAGGACAGATCTGTTTGTGGAGTTGGTGATGTAAAAATCCAAAAAAAATTACTTGCAGATGGAGACCTGACCTGGGACAAAGCTGTAAAGGTGGCAACTGCCATGGAAGCAGCAGTGAAAAATGTACAGGATTTATTGTCTATGCTAGACAATAAAGAAACACAACATGAGCCCATAAACCAAGTGCAAAGCTCTCAACAAAAATTTAGACACATGGAGAGATGTTTTTGCTGTGGAGGCATGCATTCAGCCTGAGTTTGCAGACACAAAATGTCCCAGTGCTATAAATACAGAAAGATGGGACACTTAGCAAAAAATGCAAGGGGGACTATCCGGCTGCACAAAGTCAAGCCAAAGAAAAGGGAAGAAAGCAAAAAGGAAAGAAAAGGGAAGAAAAGGGAAGAAAGCAAAACACAAAAACCTTATCATGTACAAGAGGACAAGGGAAAGGAGGCAAATGAAGAGGTACACATTGTATACTGTGTAATGGAGGATAAAGTGGAACCTTGCACAGTCACTGTACAGTTAAATAAGCAACCCACATGCATGGAAATAGATATAGGGGCATCTGTCACAGTGGTTAATGAAAAGACTTATCAACAGTGTAAAACAGGTCTGAGTCCATTGTTAAAGACAAGAGTGAAACTAAAGACACTAGGGAAAACAGTAGTAGAATCAGTAAGTGTCCCTGTTACATAAACAACAACAAAAAACCTTAAAGGCCTTAGTTGTAAAAGGAGAAAGGCCAAACTTGTTTGGTAGGACATGGCTGAAAAAATCAGACTAGATTGGGAAGAAATATGTAAGTTAGACATACAGGAAATGTCAGCCATAAAAGAAATCCTGGGGGCCTACCCTGCATTATTCCAAGAGGGGTTAGGTACACTGAAGGGAATAAAGGCTAGGATTTATATCCAAGAGGGCAGCCAGCCAAAGTATTTCAAAACCAGATGAGTTCCATATGCCCTTAAAAAGAGAACTGAGGCAACACCCATTGTACCAGTGGCCAAGCCTGATGGAACCACCCATATCTGTGGGGACTATTAAGTCACAGTCAATCAAGTTTCTAAGTTAGACAACTACCCCATTCCACGCACAGAGGACTTGCTAGCAGTGCTTGGAGGAGGCCCACATTTTAGCAAGTTGGACATGTCCTAGGCTTATCAACAGATGGAACTCAAGGGGGACTGAGAGAAATTCACCACAATAAATACCCACAAGGGATTGTACCAACATAACAGATTGCCTTATGGAGTTTCATCAGCCCCTGGCATACTCCAAAGGGTAATGAAAAACCTCTTAAAGGAGATTCCAGGGGTAGTGGTGAGGATTGATGATATCCTCATCTTGGGAAAAAGTGATAAGGAACACCTGGCAACACTCAAGAGAATTATTTCAAAACCTGGAAGAAGCATGGCTAGATTTGAAACAAAATAAATGCTTTTTCAAGAAGCTTGAAGTGCAGTACTTAGGCTATACGATCGACAAGGGAAAAGTTCACCCCATGGCAGATAAAGTCATAGCTATAGAAGAGGCACCGGCCCCACAAAACATGTCAGCACTTCGAGCATACCTGGGAAGGCTGAATTATTATCATCGGTTCCTTCCAAACCTTTCAGCTCTCTTAGAAACTTTACAACACCTCTTAAGGAGAGGAACCCCATGGCACCGGGGAGGAAGACAAGAAAAAGCCTTCCAAGCTTTTGGCTCATTTTGATCCCAGCAAGGAATTAATCCTGTCCTGTGATGCTTCATCCTATGGAGTAGATACTATGTTGTCCCATAAACTGAATGATCAGGAAGAACGGCCCACTGGATATTCCTCAAGGACACTAAACAAAGGCGAACCGGGTTATTCTCAGTTAGAAAAGGAAAGTTTTGCTATTATTTTTTACCTGAAGTTTCACCAGTATCTGTATGGGAAGGCTTTCATCATCATAACAGACCACAAAACTTTGGTAGGATTATTTAAGGAAAATAAAGCAGTTCCTGCTATGGCAGTGGCAAGACTACAGCGATGGGTTTTGACCCTAGCCACGTATGAGTACAAGATTCTTTACAAGGTGGGCCATCAGCATGGGAATGCTGATGCCCTGAGCAGACTACCACTATTGGACTCAGCCCCTACAGAAGAGCGTACTGGGGAAGTAGTCTTGCTGTTGGAACATTTGGAACAGACACCAGTGAAGGCTTCTCAGATCAAAATGTGGACTAGGCAGGATCCTATCCTGTCTAGGGCAATGAGCTACACCTTACAGGGCTGGCCAAAAGAGAATCCAAGAGGAAAGCTTCAGCCCTTTTGGACCAGAAATACCTAACTAAGCATAGAGGATGGCTGTATTTTGTGGGGCATGCAAGTTGTAGTCCCCCCTCAAGGACAAAAGAAAGTGCTGGCAGAACTACATGATGCACATCCTGGCATTATCCAAATAAAAGCTTTGGCTCACAGCTGTGTGTGGAGGCCACACCTAGATGAGGACCTAGAAAAGGGTCAAGCACTGCCCCCAAAGTCAAGTACATCAACAGTCTCCAGCACAGGCACCCTTGCATTTTTGGGACTGGCCAGAACAGTCTTGGTTTCATCTGCACATAGAAAAATGTTTTTGATCATAATAGATGCTCATTCAAAATGGCTGGAAGTGTACGCCATGAACTCAACAACCTCAGATGCAACCTGTGACAAACTTCAGCAGACATTTGCCACACATGGATTGCCTGTGGTATTGGTCACAGATAGTGCCCCAAATTTCACTAGTCATGAATGTAAGGAGCTCCTTAGTAAAAATGGTATTAAGAACATTCATACATCACCATACCACCTGGCTTCAAATGGTCTTGCAGAGCAGCTGTGAGGACTTTTAAAGAAGGGATGAGAAAAATGACCAGAGGAAGTTTGGAGACAAAATTGTCTCGATTCCTTTTGAAATATCAAGTCACATCTCAAACTACCACAGGCATAAGCCCTGCCCAGCTATTAATGGGAAAGATGATCAGGGCTCATTTGGATTTACTGTATCCCAATATGGAGGAAGAAGTGTGGAAAAAGCAGACCCTTCAAACACCCAATCATGATTATCTCACTAAAGAGAGAGTGTTGGGGGGGTGTGATCCTGTCTACACAAAAAATTTCAGTACCCGCCAACCTACTTGGATTCCAGGCAGGATCCAAGTGTGGCAGAAATGCTACTGTCGGTGCCCCTCTCCAGAGATCTGTCTCTACCAGCCTGAGAGGCTGCGGTTGAATCCCTCACGGCGGGGATCTCCAGTATTGGCAGCTTCGGTTGGACCGGGCTGCTGAGGGCAGAGAGGTTATAAAAAGGCCTGGGCCAGGAAGAAGAGCAGCCATTAGCCATGCGGTCATCCAGGTGAATCTGAACCTGGCTCTCTCCTCATCACCGCATGCTCCAAAAGTGCCCTGCCTCCAGAGGACACTCCAACCACCTCTGGATGATGCGTGTGAGTAAGCTACTCGAGATCCGATTAGATATTTAGCTTCAGTAATTCAGATGCGTGTTTAAACGGCTACCTCAGCCACCCTGGTTTGCTCTATGGGATTCCTTTGATATTCCTGTAATATTTCTATGATACTGCTCTACCTTTTACCCTGTTTCCACCCTACCCCCTGTAATCAATAAAGTGCTCCTTGTGACTGGTGTGGGAGACTTATTGAGGGGTGGGTCTAAATTATGCCGAGGAGGCCCCTTAGGTCTGTGGACTAAGGGAGACTTTCCTAATAAGCCCCTGACTTGGGGAAGTGCCCCAAGTGCTTGTATTGGGTCTAGTACCCATTGGACGATCAGGCCTGTGTTTTCCAAGGTGCACAGAGCCAGAAGGGAGTCCAGAGCCTTGGATGGTGGCAGCGGGAACCCCAGGCTAGCGGGTGTGCTCTAGGGAAGGGGTTGGCTGGACGTGAGGCACCCTAAGGGAGGCACTCGGAGCCTGGAAGGTGGTCGGGCGCAGGGAGGTGGGTGGCTCAACGCAGGAGCGCCCCCTACTGGCCCGCCACACCAAGAACAAACAGGACCCTTATCTTTTAAAACTGGAGTCAGTAATGGCCAAATGGTGAGACAACATCAGGACCACATCTGCTTACAAACCAACCTACCTGACAGACCAGAGCCATTGCTTGAGAAGGATACATATTCGGAGGACCCGGAATGGGGTAGAATGACTGAGAATTCAGAACCCAGTAATGTGGAACTATCCACAAACTCTCCTAGTCCAGAGGTGAGAGATACTGGAGACAGATATATACTCCCCCGGCCAGAGGAGAAGCCTGTTCCTGAGGAGGGGTGTTATCCAGCCAGAAAACAGAGAACTCCTAGTTATTTGAAAGAGTATGTCCGGGTTGTAAATTAAGAGGGAAGGACTGTAGTAATAGGGCAATTATAGTATTGATTATTAGTCCCTACCATTATAGGGTGGAGCTGGAGAGCTAGAACTCTACTCTATGTTGTTCCAGAGTTACTTTCATATTCCCAGTTAGGTGTTGTTTCTTCCTGAATAAAGCAGCCCTTTGTTTTTAGCCTGGAGAAAAGTAAGTCTCAGTATTCCTTGGTAAGTAAGGAACTTAACAAAACAGTTGGTCCAATAAAAGATATCACCCAAAAAAATCCTTGCCTCTTGCATAACTCCTGGACCATCACAGCTACAACAGCACTCAAACAGAAAAATGTTATGGTAGTGTTAGAGTTTTATGATGATATTGACTGTAAGCACACATGTGACTGATGAAAAATAATGAGCCATTTTGATTCACTGGTTGAGCACTCTCTATCTGTACAAGGGTCTCAATCTTATAGAACACTTTTAGTAAAGCCAAGTATATGTAGCATACAGCTACATATCAAGAATGGAGCTATCACAAGGCTTGCATATCCAACATGAACTTTTGTTTGATATAAGAATTTAAATGGTGATTCATTTTGAAAAAGACAGAAAGACTTTTAGGCAGCAAAACAAAGTTTATAACAGGTGGTGTATTTCTAAAAGGAAGGCCTGTAAAATGGAAGGTTGAGAAGCACAATGAATATCTAAAAAATTTAATCCTTCTGTCATTATCTCCAGGCCAATCTCAGAATAAGTTCATATGCAAGTAATGTCT